ATCTCTCACTCTAATAAGCAGTTGTTAAATCATTAGGATTGACTACTTATACAGTAATCTCAGGTGGGTTCATCTTGTTAAGGTACTAAGATCATCATCCATAGATTGGCTGTTCAAATGAGATTTAAGGATGTGTAGGATTAGTCACAATGCAATCAGAGATACCTTAAAAAAATACCTGAGTGCTGTTATGCTGCACAAATTTGGTTATTCTGTAAAATTTTTGCAATTGTCATACCTATCTATGCTAAAAAACTGTTTCACCCTAGACTATGTCTACTAGCAATCTGCTGTATGGTATAATAGTATAAAAAACCCAATAATCATAATTTATGATGTTAGAACTGCAAGGGGGGCACCATACAGAACAAGTAATTATGCAATAAATATAATTAGTCTCCTAGATTTAATTTTGCCTCCTTAAATATTACACCTTGGTGGCAAATGTTGTAGAGGCCAGAGTCCTTTGTATTCTTCTTAAGAGGTAGCAGAAACACAACAAATGCTAGGACATCTCCCTTTATACTAGTTTCAGTGCATGTCGATCTCCTTGGTGAATGATTGAGCTACTGCTGTTTTGAAAAAGGTTGGTGTTTTGTTGCACAAAATAATTGAATCCTGAAATAATATAACTCACCACCACCACCCCCGTGCTACTATTTTAAAGCAGAATTTTGAGGAGACAACTATTACAATTGTACCCATCTGTCTTGGGATGGAGAGGAATGGACCCTGGGCATCTGGGAAGAGGCATCAGACCTCTCATGTAATACATAGGTCAAAACTGCACACTAACTGAGATCATGTGACATCAATTTATAGGCATTTAAACTCAAGAGCAATGCTTGGCATTACAATGAGGGAATGGACCAGAGACTCCTATTGTTGCTCCATTGTGATCGGATGAGGAATGGTTCAATATTGCCAGGAATGAGTTGACCACAAAAAAATAAATCGTCCCAAACTGTGCAATTATGCTGTCCTGAAAAACACTCCCTTTCTTGGCCACATACGTGTGATGAAGGGGAAGAGGTAGAGGCCCTGAGTTTCAATCAGGCTGGTATACTTTGAACAATGATGCTTCTCCCCCTACCACCTCCTGGCCTTTGAGCAAAGCAGAATATGGATGATGAAGCTCTCCCCCCACCCCACCCCCCGAGTCTGCAAATACACAGAAAGGAAAACCCTGAGTCCTTCTTCATACATCTAGGTTGAAACCAGAAATTGTCAGCTTTTGCCTCTCTGGAGAAGATAGCCTGGATACATATTGCAGCGGCTGGTGGCATCTGGGGTCCGTCAGTGAAGGGTAATGCTGTCTGTAGCAGAGATACGCAAAGGTGAAACCCATTCCAGAGCCAACCAGCACATCTGAAAAGGAACAAAAGAACGAAGATCAATATCTAACACATCATCAGATATCAACCCATGCTAAGCAATGGTCTTAACTTCGCGCAGGGGCCATGCCACTGAGGAAGGCAGAGCTGACTGGCATTTTTCCCAGTGCTAAGAGGCTGAGTGATTTGGTTTTGAAATTGATTTATCCTCTTGTAGGGTTTGGGCCGTGTGGTG